AAGCTGCCTTTCTCCCTCTCATTTGACTTTGTTTTCTCTCCCTCCCCATCTGCTTTTAGCCAAAGGGTTGAATAGCTTCAGTATATACTGCAGGAGGCTGAAGCCAAAGGCTGGAGCACCAGGGAAGGATGCAGAACAGCAGTGCCCTGTGGCTGCTGCCTTCCGGAGGGGCTGGGAACTGTTTGCTACCCTCGCTCTGTAACCCAGCCTCCATCACCTTGCTGAACCCTTGGAGAAAGCAGCTCCAAAAGAAAACGCTTGTGCTCTGGCTAGCACACACGTGCACACTTCCTGCCCTTGAAGTCCTTCATTAAGTCTGGGTTTTGTTTGGTGTTCTTTGTTTGTTTGGGTTTTCTTTCTATTGACACTGCCACAGTCTCAGAGGGGGAGTCTGTCAGGGCCCCTGTGTTTTGCTGGTTTGGAAGCTGCGATGTGGAAAGCTGGGATGGTCACACAGGGAACCTGAGTGTATCAACAGGAGAACGGGAGCTAGCAAGGGCATTTGGTGTTGCTCTGTACGTCAGTGCAGCAAGCACCAGGACATCACAGTGCATCACCTGTGACAGTGGCCTCAGCTTGGCTGTGGCCTCATGACAAGGAAGATTGGGTCTTTGTAGACCTTACTGAAAAGATGCAAGACCAGTGCATTTAGTTCAGAGACCATCAAGCTTTCTCCAGCCAGTTTGGGAGCTTGAGTCCCTCCAAGGGACCATGTTATCTGTCTGTTCATCATGCTTGCTCTCCATCAGCAGAGATGCATGAACATGGAAGGTGATGCTCGTGACTATAGACCCTCAGCCCAGTGCAGTGGGGACCTCCAGGTCCAGCTGGATGCCTCTAGCTCAAAGCTAGGGCAACACTGCGGATGTTAACCCTTGAAAGCACAGGGGTATGGTCCTCCCTGCAAGTCAAACATCAGTCATGGTGCTCATCCAGCTCCCAGCTACTGCCATGCCCGGAATGCGAGCAGGCAGGTGAGTAAAGAAGGAAGCTTGAGGCAGGTTGTTTCTTACAACAAGCATTTAGAAGCAGAGTAAGACTAGAAAATCCCCGTCTTTTGGTAATGAATCCCCCATGTAACAATCTTAACATCCAGACACGACACGCCTGTGAAATTCCTGGGATTGTTGCAAACTGAACCCTTCTTTCCCACCCTGAAATTTCACAGCAGTTTACCTCTCCAAGCCACCAGGGATCACCATCTGCAGGCACAGAGGGGGATCTCCCGTCCTTTGTCTGCTTTCTGCAGCCTGTGGTGCTATTTTGGAAATTCTCTCATTTACTGGGTGGTTCAACTGAGTACAACTGCTCCTTTGGCTAAAACCATCCCCTGCCTGTCATCTGGTAATGAGAAAGTGACCAAAGCCAGTGGTGCTTAAGGCAGCTCTTTCTTTTGTAGATGAAGTACTAAGCTTTGGAGGCTGTGCATTTTGCAGTGAAATCAGATTTGGGGTTAAAAAGTGGGGGAAGGTGCCACTGGATAAAAATGACACCCAGAAGCAGAGCATCACTATGAGAAGGGCAATGGTGCAATGCAATGAGGTGGATGAATAAAGCAAATACCCTGTGGAAACACCATGGGGAGGGGAAACAAAGGAACTTTTAAAGCCCATCCCTCTGCGTTTGCCTTGTTCTTACTGGGGCTGCAGCTTGAGGCAGTTCACAGACTCTCACAGCTTAGCTGGAGCTGGCTGAGAACACTGTGAAGAAACGAGAAGTGAGATCCTGCTGCTGGGGATCATCTTCACGGGTGGCAAAGCACCAAACTGCACCTCACCAGCTGCTTGTCCTGACACGTCCCTCTTCCAGCAGGTCACTGAGATGTCCTGCAGAGCCAGGGTGTCTGTGGTACAGGAAAGCTCCCTTTCCAAGTGCCACCCTTTCCTGTTTGCATTGCAAACTGAGCATTTCCGTGTCTGAAAACAGCCACACAGCCTCAGTGTCTGGTATATTGTTTCCTGTGGAAATTATTGTGACCACATAATCTGTGCAGGCTCTTTGGGGTCCCTCTTGATGGCATGCAACCTGGCGGACCATTTCAGGCCAACCCGACGAACACAGATTTTGAAGGACTTGAAGTTGAGCAGTTGTGGAGCAAAGAAACTGCTTAGGTCTTGTCTTACCCTTTCAGACTCTATGAAGGAGTTGGTTTTTCTCCCAGTGTTTTTCCATCAGCCTCTCAGCCAGCCACCCTGCAGGTCTGCTGCTCAGTTCAGACTCAACCATCCTTCCTTAACTTCCCTAGGTCAGCTGTAACCAGCCCAAAGGCAGCCCACACACCAAAGCAAGGACAGTCTCAGGGTGTCATTACTTAGCTCTGGCTGCATGTTCACGGAGAGGTGGCCTTCTGGGAGGTACTCTGTGCTCCTGCAGAGCCACCGATTCAGGAGTGCTGAGGAGGCAGGACCACCAGGTCATCTTACCCAAACACTTTATCTTATCCACAGGAAAGGAAAGCAGGCAGAAAAGAACGTTCTGCAGATTGCTTGGTCTGGTTGAAATGCTCTCTTTCACTGATGACCCTGCAAGGTTGATGGGAGAGCACACACAGTGCTGCCCTGCTGGGCTTTTGGTGGCGAAAACAAGCAGCAGCTTGGGTATCATCCTCTTGCCCTCCTTAACAGGAGTTGTCCTGATTCTTTGGTATTTTCACTATATGTGCCTGAACTGTTGGGGTTAGGAACTATCACAGCACTTCCCTCCTCTTGGCTGGTGAAGAAACCTTGGCAGCTCCCATCTCTTCTCCAGTGGATGCAGGGAAACAAAGAGGGATGTGATGGGAGGGTCTGAGCACTGGGGCCGCCTAAGGAAGGGCTCATGGAAGCCTTTGGCACTTTCCCAACTGCTCACTCCCATCACCATCCTCAGGGTATGGCACCAGAGAGAGGTGGCCTGTGCAGACTTGTCACCCTTCTGTTCTCTCTGCTCTGGAACAGCAAGTGAGGAGCAGGGCATCAAATGCCAGGAGCCATGAGGTATAAAAGCCCACAAACCCTGCACACACAGTCTTCATCAGAAAGCAAGTGGCAGGGACACCTCAGGGAAGTGTGCACACAGGGAAATTATAGGGACCGTAAATGACACTAATGGCCAGGGAGAGCACAGCTGCCTAGTTTCATGATTGCTTGCTGCAAGGGAGTTAGAGGCATTTATTAAAGCGCAGGGTGGGGACCAGGAGGGGAAGAGTCCCCTGTCTGGACATCACTGCTTTGGTGGATGGAGACCAGCTCCTGGCACTTTGTGAAGGGCTGCTCCTCTTCTCTCTGGGCAGTGAGCATCCCCACCAAACTCTGCAGCCAGCTTGCGGTGATCACATCTCATCACTATAGCAAATTCCCACTGCAATGGAAATTACAACATTGCAAAATTCCACTGCAAAATGGAAATTGCAGTGGAAAGCTGCAATGTCATTTTTGCAGCAGGCAAGAGCTTAAAGCAGTATCCATCCCCTCCACCAATGAATGCCAGAGGGGAGACTTAGGAGGCTGCAGCCCTGCAGATGGGTGCTAAAACTTCAGGCATCTGCATGAACCTCCTGGCTGGCTGTGGGTAGAAACCTTTCCTTGTCTGGCTCAGAGATAAGCAGGCTTTAACCAAAACAGTTCAGCAGAGCAGGGAGAAGGGAGCAGAGCAGCCGCAGGAGTATGTATAGCGTAAGCTGCAGCCCACACATCAAGGATGAGCAGCCTGGTTCACAGCAAAACAGACTGGGAGTTATCCTCTATGGGCACAGCACTGCCAGTCCTGTTTGGCAGACAGCAAGTGCCACAAGGACTGCTGGCTCCAAGGCCAGCCGTGCCTCCGTGAGCCATCCAGTTCCATGCCAAACTAACAGCACACATCCTCTCCCAGCCCAGTGCCACCAGAGCTGGGCCACTGGGCAGCCAGCTGCTGGTGGATGTACTGGACATGCCTGGGAGGAAGCTGAAAGCAGTAAATAATAACTAACATTGGCAAACACCAGCTCAGACCAGCAAGGGAAAGCTAGGGAAAGGGATTCACTCACTCACCCGGGACCCTGGAGGTGTCATGTTGTGCATCTGAGTGCACAGGCACAAAGCAGAAATAGGTTGTGGTACTGGGCCTTGGATCAGGAAACTTCCTGCCACTGGGAGATTTTAATGCAAGAAAATAATGCAGTGATGTTACATGTTTATCCTTTAGCTTCCCTTAAATTAGAAGTAATAAAAAGTGTCTGCCATAGATTCCTTGAAGTGTCTCCAGCCCCTGCAAGTGCATCTATAGCAATTAAGCATGCTATAGATGGTAATAGCATTACTGTAATGGTAAGGGACTCTGAAGTACTAAACCACTCTAGGAAACAATAAATTGCAACTATGTCAAAAGCAGTCTCATCGTACAAGTGTGAAAAATCTTTTAAACATAATCTTTTCCTTCAAATTTTAGTTGTTTCTTCTTTCTGCAGAACAAGTCACATGTAGGCATGGGAGACATCCTCCAGGTGAAATGACAGACAGCAGACTGGGACAGACACGTGCAATCGCTTCACTGGCTTGAAACCTGAATTAAATGGATGGGAGTAGGGCAAGGCAACAGTACAGCCCACAACAGTGGTCACTGGGCTGAGAAATGACAGATCTTGGATTGATTCCCACAGCCTTCTCCTTCCTCCATCTTCTGCATTTCTCATCAGCAGAGGCATTGTCTTCTGCACACCTCTGCCTTGTGGCCCCATCTACCTCAAAAGGACATTTGGTTATCCTTGACTTAGAGGGGCTCCCTTCTTCCCAGCACTTGCATCCCAAATGGAGTTCTGTAATGGGAAGAAATCTGCCAAGACACAGACTCCCCGAATTTAAGTGACATTCAATCTCAGTTCTCCTGAGACATGTCCCTTAGACAGAGGTTGCATTCAACTCCTAAAATAGTTTCCAGGAAGACCTGCCTTGCATGTAATGGGTAGTTTCCCATCCCTAAGAGCCATCTCTTTTACAGAAAACCACTTAAAGCAGTACAAAGACACACAAGACACACAGACATGCACTGAAAAAACAGAAGAAGCACCTCAATTTACTGTGGGACTAGAAACAGCATATAACCTCCCCTGGAATTCTCCAGGTATAAAGTCCACGATGCAGCTGTCTTCTCCTGCCAGCCCTCTGCTTTCCAACATCTGGCAGGGTAGTAAAGGTCAAACACCAGAGCAAGTTGGGAGATATGCAAACAGTTAAGCCATCTTTTTGCTGAAGTCATGTTTGAGTTCCTGCAAGATAATTAAGTACATAAGTAAATAAATGGAACAAATAGCAAGGCACAGAGGAAACAACGTTATACAAAGGTGCCCTCTGCCGGTCATCAGCCAAAGGAAAGTCATCCACCTGGACCCTATGCCACTGATTTGCAGCTTCCCCCCCCGCCCTTTTATAGAGGAAGCCCTAAAAATATTCCCTATGGAGGTAAATGTGCTGTAAAACTTAAGCTTGGTATTTTTCCCCATGACAGTTGAAGTGATCCGGCAGCAGACTACTAGCAAAGACAGCTCAGCCAGCCCTCAACTTTGGTTTGGATCTCAGAGTCCTTGGGTAAGTCAACTCGCTTCAGTTAAAATCCAATTGGAAACCAAAAGCACTGATAGAAATGTTCTGCCAGATCGATCAGCTGAACTACATAGCTGCCTTGATGGAATACAAGGAAAGTGGTGAGAACACAGGGCTGGGGAAAAAAAGGGCCACATCCACATGATTTGAGTCTGGGTTTGCTGGAATGGTTAACTTCTGCAGGCATTTGAGACATAGTCCACAAGTCTCTGCAAGTTGAAAACAGCTCTTGCAGGCAGTACTGTGAGCTCAAAACTATTTGAGGCACCAATCAATTCAGAGAATGCTTCTCCCTCTGTTTCAAATAGCAGTGTTATCTGATTATAGCTATGATTTTAAACTATTTCTAAGTACTGAGAGCTTGCTCTAATGATACAAATTAGACTTTAAATCTGTTACATTAGTCTATGAAAAAATGCAGCTCTATTGCACAGGCATATCAGTCTCAGCTCAACTCTTTTCTGTATCAGTTTAATTCCTGCTGGTGTAAATCCCTGATTTAATTTACTGACTGGGAATTAAATCAGCATGAACTGGTTTCAGTGCATCCATGCTGGGTATTTGTGATGATCAAAGTAGACTATTTTAAAACAATGTTGTTGGATTAGAAAGCTCCAGTGGCACAAACAAGCTCTTAAGAGATGCAGTATAATAACCTTGGACATTAAAGAACAGTACAGCCCTCTCTTCCCACTTCAGTCTTTTCCACTGAAATTGAACCCTGTCTGCAAAAACATTTTCATGGTCACGAAAGTTTCGTATATAGAATCACAGAACAGTTTGGGTTGGAAGAGACCTTAAAGATCATCTGGTTCCAAGCCCCTGCAATGGGCAGCAACCTAGTTTAGTCTTACATTATCAAGGTTGCTCCAAATCCTGTCCAACCTAGCCTTGAACACTGCAAGGGATGGGGCAGCCACAGCTTCTCTGGGCAACTTCTCTGCACCACCCGCATAGTGAAGAATTTTTTCCTAATGACTAATCTCTTTCAGTTTAAAGCCATTCCCCCTTGTCCTGTCACTACATGCCCTCATAAAAAGTCCCTCTCCAGATGTAGTGCTGAGACTCTGGAAAATGGGCACACTGCAACGATCAGGTTGTCTTTGGGATAGATATCCAGGGACTGTGTACACTGGGAGCTATTCTGACACCCAACATTTCACATCCCTGAGGGTAGCAGGGTGCTGCTCTTTTTTTATTCTTGAGTTTAGTCGCCGTATCAACAGAATCCGATGTTGGAGGTCCATGTGCTATCAACCAACCCCCTGCATCGTGTACCCACAGGGGTCTTTGTGTCTCATCACCCTCCCTGGTATTGCTGGAGGCCACCACTCTCTCTGGTAAGCTGGTGAATGTCTTTGGGATTTGTTTTCATGCATGATACGCTCTGTCAAACTCTAGGTTCAACTGAGCATGGCACAGAGGCTGTGCTCTACCTTTGCACTACAGCCGTGGTTGGGATCACGTGTTCTTTGCAGCTAAGTGGTCCCACACAGAAGGGGGGCTGGCTGTATATGGCCCAGCTGCATCTCTGATAAGGAGGGGTTTGCTGAAGCTGGACCTGCAGGTCTTTACTACCTTGTGCTTCCCAGGAAGCAGCCTGTTTTACTGGGAGAACTGGAACGAACTCAGATCTCTCTCTCCAGCATTTCATACACCTGCTATATACCTAGCCTCCTCACACCAGGCAAGGCTACTACGCGGACTTCTCCCCAATGTAGGAAGTGTTCTTTCCAGTCTTCTTTAGGGTTTCCAGTAGGGTGTCAACGTTATGCTCTGAGTCGATGCACACCTTCTTGTTGGGCAGGTCAATATCAAACTGGACACCTACAGACAAAGGAAAACAATTCTGCACAGCTAGAAGCAGCCAAATGGTGTGAGCACGGGGAAAACTCACCTTCATTTGTGCTCCCAAGGCAATCAGTCAAATGTACACATGCTTCCTGCCAGCAAACCCTGATGCCACCACCAGCTGGCAAAACCAAACTGGTGCCCTGCCAGCAATGGTATGAAGGAAGCCAGATTTCCTGCAGATGTGCATTGCCCACTGCAGTTTCTGAACTGCTTTTATCTGCTCACTCCACCTTGGATCAACACAATCACTCACGCAATAACCAGAATGAGCTGAGTTTAAACCAACCTCCAACTAGCTCAACCTGTGCTGTGGTTTAGCATGGATAGGGACTAACTAATAGTGCAGGGTTAGGACAGGGTCAGGACAGGTTTCCTCAGTGGTGGCATCAGCTAACAGCTGTAACTAGGAGGACGGAAAAGACATTTTCACATGTGGATTTCCCAGTGGCTAATAAGGGTGAGACACTCAGCACAGTGAAAGGACATGAAGTCTCTTATCACAAGGCTGGTATTGGCCAGCATGTCTGAAGAGTGATGGAGCTTCTGGGAACCACACACAGAGGAAGTGGGATCACTACAGTCTGGTAACGAGGTCTGAAAGAAGTTGCAAGGCCTTCACGTTGTGACTGAAAGCTGTTTCTACACAGTAAGGAGAGGGGTGCAGGAGGACCGGTCCTTACAACAGGTGAGTACAGGCTAGATCCCTCTCTCGGTAATGTCAGCATAAAGGAGGTATAGGCTATAATTTTCCAGGTGGTATTAAAAACAGGCTATGCAGGCAACCACCAAACACTTTGCTCAGCAGCTCTTCACTGTGACTGCTGATGACACATCTAGGGAAGCACCCCAGACACCCCAGGCTTCACTGGAAACACCACCTGGTAGGACATACAGGAAGGTCACTGTCTTCTGACAGCCTGAGTAGGGGTCCACCAGTATCATTCCCAAAGGGTTCAGGATGAGGCTCTGGTGGTTCAGAGCCCCCTGCAGCCATGGCAGCTTCTCCTTCCCTTGACAGCTCCCCAGTGGTCACACAAGTCCTGCCAACAATCAGTGACTCATTACTAAGCTGCAGGCTCAGAGCAGAGAGGGGGCAGAGGTTTCAAACCTGCCACTTTCAGCTTTTTACCCTTGCAAGACGGAGGATCCCCGGGCACTGATATCCTGCCCCAGAGCTGGTGCTGTCACACACCCAGCATGGACTCACCTCCCAGCTTCTGCAGGACACGGGTGACTGCATTGGAGCAGCCTTCACAGGTCATGTCCACAAAGAACTCGTGTTTCTGAAAAGAGACAAGCGAGGGGTCAGGGAGGGTGAAGCTGGCAACACACCACGAGCACTCATCCTCCACAGTAGCCTTTTTCCCTGGGGGAGATGGGCGTAGATCCTCCCCAGCCAAAAGGTCCACACATGCCACTAAGGGGTATCGAGAGTTCTTGGTAGTCCTCCCTATGGAATCCCTGTGCTTTTCATCAAGTGATAATTATGAGGACCCTTTGGAGACTGACTGGCCTTCACTCAGAGCAGGGCCACCTTCAGGGTCAGCTCAGGTTCCCACCTCTGTGGGTCTCTGAAAGCTTCTTTGGGAAGCTCCAGAGAACCAAGTGTCCTGCCTCCAGCGACCCACTGACCTGATCTGGTCTGCAAGGTTTCCAGTGCTTGCCCATCCTGTTCTTCTTGTGCCTTCAAGGCCTCTTGTCCCCAACATAATAAACTCATAGAAATATCAACTAACCTGAAATTTAAGGACCGTTAGTGCTGTTTTATCACCCCTTCACTCCAGCGGGCCCCCAGGGTTATCTTCACTACCAGTCAACACTGGGTCACTACTGGGTTAACAGAAACGTGCTTGCCTGTAACACTAACCATTGTTTTCAACCTTTGGCACCGGACAGGTCCCAGTCCCCTTCTCTTGCACATGCTTTTTACTTTCCTTATAAAAATAAAGTCTTTATATTCTTCTTGTTACCTGATACCCATATTTCTTTCTATTCCAAACTACCCTCTGCTCCCTCTCATCGAGAGGTTAAAAAACCCTCAGTGGCACAATCCACCCGGAAAAGCAGTTCGGGAATGGCGGTTCCCATTGGAATTTTGCTGTGTAACCAGCATTTTCCTGCTTTTTAATGCTCAGCGTGCCCCGGGGAACACGGGATCGGATCGGAGCAGCAGGAGGGTCCCAGCGCAGAGTCGTCCCCCCCCCCACCAGACCCGGTGGCTCCTTCCGGTACCGGCCAGCTCCCTCCTTGCCCGGCCGGGCCCGCCACGTCCCCCGGCCCCATACAGGCCCTACCCGACCCCGGCCTGCTCCGATGCGCCAGGCCCAGGCGCTGTGCGGAGCGGGCCGCAATCACCCGCCCCGCGCCCCCAGGCCCGGCACCCACCGGCATGGCGGAGCAGAGCGGAGCGGAGCGGCGGCTCCCGGCTCCCCTCTCCCGGCTCCCGGCGCGGCGCTGCGCAGAGGAAGGGGCGGGCCGCGCCCGGCTCCTCCAGGCCGATGCCGGGCTCTGAGCGCCGGCCCCGCACAGCGCCCCCGGCCCCGCGCAGCCCGCCCCGTTCCCCGGGGAAGCGCTGGAACCGTCTCAGGCCTGTTCTCAGCACTGACCGAACCGCTTTTAGGAGCCCTTCGGGGACGGTGGCTGCTGAAGCACATCCCTGCTTCTTGCGCTTATGTTCATCCTCCCAGTTTTCTGATGCTAAAAGGCTGCTGCTCCGGCATGTGGCTGCAGTGATGCCATCTCCAATAGGATGATTGGAGTAAGTCTGAAGCCATCGGAAGGCACGAGATGCCAAAAAGGGATAAGGAGAAAGCAATGGAGAAACTTTTTACTGGTGTGGCTCCCTACCGGCTTTCAGCACCCTGGAGCAGCACAGGGAAGGGGCTGCGGAGGTAGGAAGAGCCATTAAGATGGAGCGTGAGGTGTGAGGGTTGACAGCGCAGCTTCAGAAGGCTTGTGAGGCTTTGAGATTTACTGGGTTAGGATAGCCTGGATTATCGAATGAGGGAGGTTTGGGGGTAAATTGAGAGAAAGGATGCTGGTCCCTGAAGATGTTTGTGTGTCTGCTTTGGGCTGGTCTGTTGGAGATCTAAGCATATAATCATACAATGGTTGGAAAGGACCTTAAAGGTCATCCAGTTCCAACGCCCTGCCGTGGGCAGGGACACTTTCCACTAGAGCAGGTTGCTCCCAGCCCTGTCCAACCTGGCCTTCCCTGGCTGCTTGGCCCTCGGAAGGAGAATGGGCTTCTTAAACACTGGAGGTGGAGATGACTGCAATGGGGACCAGGAGCAGCTTTGGGAGGCTGTGTGCAACCAGGAAAGGAGACAGGGCTGTACATAAGGGCTGAGAAGTGCTACCAGCGCTGTGTGTGGGATGATACTTCCTGACCATTTGCTGGGTTTCAGTATCTTCCTGTTAAGAAGGCAAATCTGTAGCAGGAAAAATAACCAGCGTGTTCTGGTTACTTGCTACCACTCCAAATAGAGTGGTACCCTGGGATGTGGCCAGCTTGCTGACCCCTTCCCCTTGCCCTGCGTTGATACTGAACAGGCTGAGCTCTCGCCGGGATGAAGATGATGTGAATGCCTTCCCTAGTTAACTTGTGTTGCATGGGAGGAGGGAGGGTGTTCATTTTGACACGCATAGCACCCTGTTGTTGTAATGACCTTTTCATAAGAGAGGAATTACTTGTCCCCCCCTGCTGCGCTGGGGAAGAGATGTCAAGGATCCCCCCAGCAGTGTTTATTCTGGTGGCTGTTGTGCTGGGTCACTGGGCTCACATTAAACTTCATAAAAGTCTGTGCTGCTGATTTATGAGCTGGCAGATTGCAATGTGGCTTAGGCTATAAATAACCGGGTGTGCAGGGGGGGAACGATATTAATGCTGAGCATGGCCCCATGCCAGTCCCCGGACTGTATCTCTAGCTGCAAGGCATAGCAGGAAGGGGTTTGGGCAGACTTTAGGGATACAGTGGTGGGGAGGAAGTCACTTTTATAGGGTGAAATCTATCTCTTGAGTGCTTCATGTCAGGGATACATTTGGGATAGGATGTGACACAAATGGAAAGCTACGGCCTTCTGGGAGCAGGCTGGCTCAGGCTGTCTGCTTCCTCTCCTTCTTGCTCTCCTGGGGCTCCCTGGACCAGCATCTCAATGTGAATATCTAGGCCTGTCTCCTTTGTAGGACTACCTGGGCGTTGCCAGGTGGGTTAGAATATCACTGCTTGGATCGCCATTCTTCTGGGGCAGATGAACCTCCTGCCTGCTTTGTTCCTTCCTTTGCAAAGGAAAAGCAGCAGGATGAGTCTCCCAGTGCTGCCTGTGGTCCCTGGTGACAGGCAGGGGATGCCAACCCATGATGGGAAATGGTGCCCACCACTTTCTCTTCACCTGAGCGGTGGGCCTGTTTCTGGTGGAGGTGGCCCTAGCCCGGGCAGGAGTCGCTGAGTGTGAAAGGCTCCTTTTACCCACCCACACCGGAGGTTTCTCTTGGGTGAGTGGGTCAGTGGTGGGACTGTGCGTGCCCTGACCTCCGATTGGGTGAGCGCCCCTAATGCTGCCATTAAGGGGGATGGCGACAGCCTGTTCACTGTTACAGGGCCATGGCCAGACCCCCGGGACAAGCACCGGGTGAGACACCGGCACACACCGCTCCGCCATATTGGGCGCCATCCCCTGTCCCCCCCCCTCCAGCAGGGGGCAGTGCTGTGCGCGGAACACCACCCCGCGTGGCGGGGGTCCTTGTCCCTTTAAGAGCGCCTGTCCGTCAGAGCCCGCCGCGCTCTCCCATTGGCCTCCGCGCTCGGTGTCGCTCGGCGGGCTCCGCCCCGATCCATAACGGGGTTTACCAGCACCTTCTCAAGGGCGCTGCCGTGCGGCTCAACCACACTGCGCGTCACGCCTGCCCTTCCCTGCGCGCCTGGCAGCGCGGGTAGCGTCGTCCTATTGGCTACAAGGGAGGTCTATCGGCTTATCGTCCGCCCCGGCAGAGGGAGCGCCGCCGCCCATTGGTCGAGCTCTGTGCTGGTCACTCATACAGTCCCCGCGGAGCAGCGCCGTATGGTTGGTAGACTGAGCTGTCTCTCACCTCTTCGCCCGCCTCATTTCCCCTATGGACCAATTAGCATCCGAGCGGAGGCTACCGCCGTTCTCTGATTGGCTGAGCTGCCTCCTGTTGGGGTAGGCTGCGCGCCGGATATATTTAGCCGGCGGCAGAGCACGCCGTTGCGTGAGGTGCATTTCGTCCGCCGGGTAGGCCTGTGGTGAAGCGGCGCCTCCCGCTCCCGTCCCGCTCAGCCCGCAGGTGAGGGAATGGGGGCCCCTGCGGCCGCAGAGGGACCGGGCGGGACCCGCCGGCCGGGTCGTGTTCTCCGGCGGACGGCTGCGGGCGGCACGCATTGGGCTTGGCCTGAGGCTTCCCGTTTCACCCCCCCTTTCCCACCACCTTGGTAGGCCGCGGTCGGCTGATGGTGGGGGCACCCGGCGCATCTCCGCCGTTGAGGCGGCTCCCGCCGTCCCGGTCCCGCGAGTGAGGCCCGCCCGGTTCTGGCGGCGCTTTGTGGCGAGCGCCCTCCCAAGCGGCCCCGTGGCCGGGCTTTCGTACCCCCCTGTGGGGCTCTGGAACGAGGCCCTCGGACGCGAGGGACCTCTTGTGCCCACGCCGACTTCGGGGGCTTCCGTGGCGGGAGCGGGGCTCGATGGTGCATTGCTTGGCGAGCAGTTGCTTAAAAGGGAGCGTTATTTGCGGGGGATGGCGGGGGGAGGGGGGGGGGGCGATATCGGCCATTCCTGCATTGTGCGAGCCGAGATGTGGAGCTGCGATCTTTGTTCTCGGCTTTGCATGGTGGTGTTTCTTACTTCGCTGTTTTGGGGTGGTTTTTTTTGAGTGGTTTCTTGAGAGGGATGGGGGTTAGGTATGCGGTGACCCAGTACCTGGCATGCAGCTGAGACAGCTCCTTTCAATAGCTGTTTGAGGGACTGAACCTGCGTGCTTATATAGTGAGGTCGCCCGCACCGGTGTATCAGATCGTAGGTGTCTCCCTTGTTGTAACTTTATAGATGGAGAGCTGTAATTCAAGCAGAAGAGCAGCGTGCATCTTGCTCTGACTTACCGCATGACCTTGGCTGGATGTGAGTTTAAGCCAAGATTTAAATGTTAGTTAGGGGCTGATGTGAAGAGTTCCCAGCCTCCTGTAAGGCCCTAGATATGCTTACTAGAGGAAGAACACAGAAAAAGGCTAGCATACGTCTTCCAGATAAATTTTAGTCTTGATCAGGATGGTATAATGTGTTATTAATTCACAGTGGGCTTACCTGGTGTCCTTTTATACTAAGAATTGCATGTATACAGTAAGTTTTCTTTACAAAGAAAATGATACTTATTTCCCCCCCCACCACTGGTTGGAATCAGCATTTGCAGCAAGCCGCCATGTTTCCAGTGTGTGCTATTTTTGTCCAGCCTGTGCTCTCTTAGCCAGGAGTGACAGCGTTAGGAAATGTGGACACCGCTGTTGAGCTCTGGAAGCTCATGCTTTCACGTGCTGTAAATCAAGTGTGCTGTGCGTTGGACTGATTTTAGCTACCAAGACTTTCTAGATTGGTTCTGTAATGGGAAGGTAGTGCAAAAGTTAACAGACAAAAACTGCATTTCAGACCTTTTCTGCAATCCTCCCTTTGACCAAGTGTTCACTGTTATTCCTGCTCTGCAAAGAATAAGCCTAATGACTTTGATAAATAGATAGTTCTGCAATACACCTGTGGTGCTAGTGGTAGCATGTTCACATCCTGTGCACTGGACTCGCCTTTTCCTGGAGTGTTTCAGTCAGTATGCTTCATGTTGTAAAGTTGTGGATGGAATTTATAACTAAACTCAAGGGTAGCTGTATTTACATGGTTAAAGTCTTACATTGTAATAGTCATAGAGCATCTTTAGGATTATAATATCATTTTTTTTGATAGCATCACATGTTCCAGGGACTGGTTTGCACAGCAGGCAGTGTTAAACCATGCTGTAAAGTGTAATTATACAAAATCTGTTAGAAAAAATCATCGACATTTGAAGATGTTTGAATTTATTTTAAAATGTCAATATTCTTTAAAAATCTTATTTTAAAAAGAATCTTCTATACATCAGGTGCTACATAGTGGTGTCCAGTTTTTGACTTGTGTGAATTAAGCAACAACGTTTTTTGCTAGGTTGTGTTCTTTTAGGTGTGAACTCCTGAAGTTGAAGGCTAGAAAACCTTAATTAAAGGTAGAAGACCTGATGGACAAGATTTCTTTTGTGTGGGTGAAGTGTAAACATCAGGATCTTCTGTAGGGATTCTTTGCATTTGCAGTCTAAGAAACAACAGAAGCATAGTAAGACTTGCTTGTACTGTGATTATAAGACCACTGCTGTACTGTTTGTTAGTGCTGCTTGCACAACAGCATCAGTAGAGTTCAACACGACTAATGATAGAAGTTTGAATGTCTTAATTTTAAACATGAAATCTTTCTGCACCTGATGAAATGGCAAGCTCCTTATTGGCTCAGGAAGATACTGTTTTCTTTTTTTGCCTTGAAGATTGGAAGGTGAACATACTCAGAGGAAATGAAAGTAAAGCAACAATGATGTTACTGTAAATACATATTAATATTTCTGTTTATAACAGTAGTAGCTCTTGAGAGAGCACTCATAAGGTTGGTATAAATGGCCTTTGAGTTAGGAAACCTTTGAATTGATTATTCCAGGTTTTAATAATAGAACCCGGGCCTTTTTGTCTGACTAATGTGATGAATGAAGAATCAAAGTGGAGCAGGGCTCTAGCAGGGTGGTGCTGGTTGTCCTCCTGGCCTTAGTCTGCTGTACTTGAAACAAACCAAAGGTAAAAGCGATAGTTTTGTCTAGAAGACTTGGTAATTTCTTTATATGTTCCTTTCTAAAACCTTTTAAGTCAAAATTTCTACATGAAGTTTCTTGTAGACTTGATAATCTTCAGCTACCTCATCAAGTAATAAAAGAAGTCTTGATTTTATTGTAACTGAAAAGAATCCCTAAAACTTTGCAGGCAGTGAATATTATACTGGTATGAGGTCCTAGTTTTGCTATATTAAGTCTGGATCTCTTCCAGAAAGACATAGCTGATGGAGTACTGATTTCAGAGCTGGAAGATTGTGAGCTGTTAGTTAAGCACAAATAATCTGCTATGAGCCTGATACCTTGCTGAGGCAAGTGTGAAATGCTGCATTCTAAAATGCTGGTGGCCATCTTCCATTTCTTCTGCATTGCCCTGTACTGATTTCTGTTTCACTTATGACTGCTATTAGGTTCACTTTCTGTTTTGTCTGACAATGTAACAATGCCAGGATGGATCGGTATTAAGTGCTCAGATCCAGTCAATACATGAAGGTTGAGAGTCTTCTGTGGCTAGAATGGGTAGAGGTGAAAGAGTTGTCTCACTTTACAGGTATCTGTTGCAGGTCCAGGTTGCTTGGCATGCAGGAAATATTTTGTTAAATCTGAATCCTGGTGATTTTAATCCAAGCAGGAGGGATCTTGAATTTCACTGTTAATGCTTGTGTAGCTAGGTATTGTAACCTGCCTCTTCTGACCGCCGATGAGTAACTTTTGCTTTTTACTTTAAGAAGCTACAGTGGAGCCAAGTGGAAAAATTGCAGACCTAAGAGGGAAGAAGACTGGACTTGCTGCCAACTTCATCGAGTTGTTGGAACAGCTCTTGGATGTCAAAACAAAACCTGTTCTAATGGCAGAATCATAGGGTCTAAGTAGCTACTTTATCATGAAGCAGTCTGGAAAGCAGTATAGGCATAAAGCTGACTTAGTTTTCATTAAAAAATTGAATAAGCAAACCATTGAGACTAGCACTAATCCTGCCACCCTTTAGGATTAAATTTGCATGGTTAAAATGTAATTTTACAGAAAAAACCCCACTGCTTCTAGTTGTAGGGTAAATGAGATTGGAATAGGTCTAGTTAGAAATGAGCAAGTCCTTCACCTAGGGGTAGGGGAAAGCCTGGTTAGGAGAATCTGATGTAGGATTATTTTTAAAAGTGTGGTAATGTTTCTGTGGATTCTTGAGGCATATTTTTGTGATGATACCAAGTGTTATTAGGCTCAGGGCAGATCATCTTGGCTCAGTGTGCCAGCAGGTCCCTCTACAGCAGCCTTGCATTGCTTTTTTGCAGTGACAAGACTATTTCCTGCTTTTTCTCTACTGAACTGGAGCAGGACATGAGCAGCTCAAATGACCTGTATGGTAACATCTATTGGAGGTGAAGTTGTCTCATGATAAATCCCCAAATAGTAATTGAGCTTCAGGTTGTACTTCTGAGGCTGTGCACAAGTCTTATTTTATGTCATGCATCCTGCTGCAAGAGGAATTTAGTAAAGGAGTTGTCGGTCAAGGGCACTCTTCTGCCTTTTCAACATCAAGAAGTACCAGAGATGGAGATGTCTAATTTGGTGCTTTGGTGGGCTTTTTGTTAGGTAATAAATCTAAAGTAATAGGAACTTAAATTTGTATGTGAAGTTCTAAAGCTTCCACCTTGCCTACTCTGTATTGCTTTTGTGTAATGAGTAGGAAATTCTGGTGACTTGTTGAGAGATGCAAAGCTGTATTGAGACATCTGAGAACAGATGAAAATATTTCACTTCCCCT